CATAAGCAATTGAGCAGACCGAGTCATCTTGAAACAGAAGGCATAATGTTCGAATCCATCTTACCTTCAATAGCTTCCAATGTCCAACACTCTATCCAATACACATAAGAGATAACGCTTTACACGACGGTTTTGACTGTAACTTAAGTAACTGTTTAATACTTAAAGACTAAGGTGTCCTAAAAAAATATGGCTTTGCGGAAACAAATGTAACTTTGCCATAGCTTAAAACGGTGACGCTCAGGGACATTGCCGAATACTCAAGGACACGTTCGAGTAGGTTTATCCCAGTCTCCCGTGCGTAAATAAGTATTTTTCTACCCTCCAGGGCCAATGTAAAGTAAGGAAACATTAATCAATAATGATGATACAATACTATAATAGTATTTACAGAGGCCTACCATTCCGTGTTTGTCCCGGTTCATCACTCAGTCAGTCATGCAGTTGTCAGATCAGTAACGTTAGATCATGAGAAAGTTGACTCCATCTTGTCGCCATCCCAGGTCGTCCAGGCTTAAATATTTGTTTTCGTGCTGTGTTAATAACACTACTAAAACCTCTCCTTTCTCACTTATCTAAGATAACACTACCTTTCCATGATAAGTATTTAAATGTCCACGTTAACGTTATATTTGACAATATTTCAGCCTATTGGCTTCCACTGTTGGACATTGTCTATTCTTTTGCTGATCTTGCTCAAATAAGCCATCGGTTTTCTTGTACAGCAATTTGGTTACTTCATTCCTCATTGCAAAATCTGAATGTATGCTTTAACCACATCCATTCAATGAAGATTCCCATTATTACACAGGACGAGAAGAACCAGATTCTGACGGCAGAGGTCTGGTTAAGAATGGTGAGTTTGCAATATTTTTATTTGTCAACAACCCTTGTATTACGTATAATCAAGTTATGCATTTGACTTATATCTGTCTATTCAAATACATTGCCTGTACATAGATCTGGTACGTTGGACTTGTACCCAAATACGTGTATACCGGTACGCAGCACCACTACACATGCTTTATATTTTCCCCGACAAACTCCTGGACGAAAGATTGCCTACAGACGTGTACTGCCAAAGTTCATGGTTTGAATCTGCCATCCATTCGGTGGTCGGTTACCTTCTTGTGCACTTTACGTTGTTCCAGAAATGGACTGACGAGTTTCTGACCTGGAATGTGAGTGAGTACGGTGGGATAGAGACCATTGCAACACAAGCGGAGAATATCTGGAGACCAGACATGTTCCTTTACCACAAGTAAGCAGCTTGTCAGCGACTGACGTCTTTTAAAGGATATCGTAGTCAGATGATTACATTACATATGTGAACATTTCATCCTTTTCAAATGTGCATGTGCCTTAAAAATCTTGTCTAGATGTATGGCACTAACCAGAGGATTACGCATATCTTTCATACCTTTTCGTAAGAGAGCAATGTGACATTATCTGAATAGCGTTATACATGTAAGTCATTCAATCGGTTAAACTACATCTACAACTATTTGAACATGATATAGTAAAAGACCCAATTACATGCACTGTCAGGTTACGACTTTGACATGTGCGGTAGAGAGTTGAAAAATTGTCATTGGATGTTTTGGTACTGATGAAAAAACTGAGAATCTAATCTAATCGACCAAAACTTACAGCGTAAACCACGAGTTTGGCGGGTGGCTGGAGGATGTGGTGATGATCTCTTCTAACGGCCAGGTGGACTGGAAAGCCCCCGCCGTGACCATGTCTGCCTGTCTAGTGGACGTGTCTGACTTCCCCTTCGACAAACAGAAATGTTACCTACAGTTCGGCTCCTGGAACCAGGACGGTCGCCATGTTGACTACTTCAGTGAGAGCGAAGTTGGGGACATGGCGAATTTAATCCGGTAGGTCACGTGACACCTACAGACAGAAGACGTTTAATCATATTTACCTAGGACTAGTTGTTTTAACAGTATGCCTATTGGCCCTTGCTCTGCATTCCATTGTGCTGAGTCACACAATACAGTAAAGA